GCTTTCTTTGACATTTTGCCGACATTCCTCCCCTAGTATCCCCTATTTTGGTTTATTAGCATACTCCACCAATGGGATTTTACAAGATCAACACTGACGGATGCATTAATGATGGATTTGTAGCGGTGGGAACACTATACGGGGCCATTCTGGTAATTGCTTAGAGCTTTCTCAGCGTGAGACTACCCCATCCTAGAGGCTAAGCTACAAGCTATCTTGGATGGTATCTTACTTGCTCAATGGCTAGGATTATAAGATATTTGTGTAGAGGCCGATTAATCTGTAGCCTTTCACTGCATCGCTAGAGATGGAGGCCCATAGGTGACACATAGTATTCTTAGATAGATTATATGTAATCTTTCCATTGAATGTTTGTTTCCTACATTTATCGTGAGGAAAATTAGGTTGTCGATTCACTTGCATATGTAGGATGGGATCTGCGCCATTATCATGAATATAGTCCCTTTGATCTTCCACGGGGACTTTGAACACTTGTACAAATTGATAGATGTGGTTTCCCTAACATAAGAGAGGGTTAGTTTGAATTTTATTTGCTCGCTTTATATGTGAAGTATTACTTCCCCTATTTTCATTTCGCTTCACATGTTGCGTCTCATTGATTTTGGAAGGTCAGATTTACTCTCCCCTTTCCTTTTATCCATGATTTTTCTTTTATATATGATTGGGGAATACAAACCCCCATCAGCATTTCCCGGTGGCGCCAGAAAACCCAGTAAGGTTATGTTGATGTTTTGCTAAAACCAAAAAAAAAAAAAAATAATAAATTAAAAAAATAAGAAAAATAGCTTTATAGAGGAACTTAGACTCAGTTCACCCTTTAAGTCAAGCTCAACATAATCTAACATCAACAAAATCAAATAATGTCTATTAATCTACACACTATCATAATTGATATTTTCTTTAAGATAAACTGCTAATTAATTGATACAAGTATAGATATCAAGACCTAATTATTCCAAGTTTATATTGATGGGAATGATACGGGGAATAGCTCAAGATATCATAGACTAATCAGCAAACTTCCCTCATTCTTGGACCCATTCCACTCTGATGGTCCATTTAACTATCCTATTAGAATCAGTGAAAAAGAAGTCTAAGCATGCAAAGAAATTAGAAGCATAATGTTGAATTTGTAATACTTCAGATTGCCTAGTGGATGCAGTGCCTGTAATGGCAATTTCTCAATCTTCATATGCATAAGTTCAAGTCAAGAAACTAGGATGTGCATACTGGACACCTCATAGACAGTCAATATGCTTTGATGCTTCTGTTTATATCCTGTATATCTATTAAATTAAATAAGAAAAACATAGAGATAGAACTATGTCCATGAAGATATTGAATAAAGATTTCCCCTTACTTTTTGTCTTAACCTTTTTAATTTCTGTTCAGAAAATTTCCAGTGCAACGGATACTATAACTACTACACAGACCCTTAGAAATAGCGAGACCCTGGTGTCATCTGGTAGAAGCTTTGAATTAGGACTTTTTAGCCATGGAAATTCCAAGAATCAATACGTGGGCTTGTGGTAAAAAGAAATATTAGTTCATACTGTAGTTTGGGTTGCCAACAGAGAATTTCCACTCAAAAACACATTAGGAGTCTTGAAGGTTATCGAGCTAGGATTTTTAGTTCTTCTAGATGATGCTAAAGGTGGCATCATATGGTCTTCTAATACATCAAGACATGTGAAAAGTCCAGTTCCAATGTTGCTGGACTCTGTAACCTTGTTGTGAAAGATGCAAATGATGATTATCTGGGGAATTTCCTATGGGAGATTTTTAATTATCCAACTGATACAATGTTATCAGGGATGAAGTTCGGTAAGAACTTTATAACTGGTCTAAAGCTGCATCTATCGTCGTGGAAGAGCAATGATGATCCCTTTTCATGAGATTTTACATTATACTTTGATCCTACTGGTTATCCACAACATCTCTTGAAAAAAGGTTCGGCTGTGCCGTTTAAATCTGGTCCTTGGAATGGGCAAACCTATAGTGGCAATCCCAACTCGAAGAAAAATCCTATTTTCAAATACAGAGTAGTTCTAAACAAAAAACAGGCATACTATACTTTTGAGCTCCTTAATAGATCAATTATTTCAAGGATTACATTGAGCGTTAGTGGTGCTGCACTACGCTGGATGTGGGTTAATCGAACGAAGGAGTGGGTGGTCTACATTACTTCTCCAACAGATAATTTGATATTTATAGATTGAGTGGTGTAAGTGGTAGTTGCAATATTGCAAATTTTCCTGTTGGTAGATGTTTAAACAGATTTCAGCTTGAAGATCCGAAAGGATGGGAAAACGCAGATTGGTTGAATGGGTGTGTTCGCAGAACTCCTTTGAATTGCTAAAATGGAGATGTATCTCTCCAATATTTTAGTATTAAATTACCAGACACACAGTATTCTTGGTTTAACGATAGTATGAACTTGAACGAATGCAAGGTAGCATGCCTTAAAAATTGCTCTTGTACGGCTTATTCTAGCTTGGATATGAGCAAAGGGGAAGTGGATGCCTACTTTGGTTTGGAGACCTAGTTAACAGCAAAAAACTATCTGAAAGAGGACAAGATATATACATCGAGCAGGCTTCATCTTAATTAGGTAAGAATTACTAATCAAATTTTTTTCCTATTCGATTGTTTGTACTTCTCGATTTTAAGGATTTATCATCAATGAAAAATAATCCATTTTTTATTTTCATATAAAATTTTGTAGAGATAAAAGGAAAGAAAAGAATAGTTCTTGAAGTAAGTCTATTGTTATCAATAGGAATTTTTCTGCTTGGCCTAAGTCTGATGCTATATCTTCAGAAAAGGACGAAAAGAAACCACAAGCTGAAAACAGGAGGTCAGCAAGATTTGTCGTTTTCCACTGAAGACAATTGTAGAAACGAAGCTTATCTATATTCTGCTAATTGGAATCCTTCTTTTGCTTTTCTCGATCAAGTTACATCCAATTCATTGCTTTTGTTTCAGGCGAGCTGGTGGACAACTTTATGGACCGAAAACATGATAAAAGTCACAATAAAGACATAGAGCTACCAATGTTCGATTTTCATAAAATAATTAAAGCCACATATAATTTTTCAATTGATAACAAGCTTGGAGAGGGTGGATTTGGACATGTTTACAAGGTATCATATTATTTCGTTTTTCTTTTTTCATTTTTAATTTAACAAGGTAGGCACCACATTGATAAACCATGCTCTCAGATTCTATGTCGTGTTCAAATTTATGGATGTTTAATTGATGAACTGTATCAAATACTTTGTTTGCATAATCATTTGGAGATGTACTCTTTGTTTCATGTGAAATGAAGCCTTTTAAAACAAAAATGCATCAATGTCACACTTAGCCACTTGAAAAGTGAGTGGAAGATGATTTGCACTGAGCAAAACAAATAACTTACATGCATAATTTCTTATTTAGGGCCTATTGGAGGAGAGGCAGGAAATTGCTATCAAACGTCTATCTAAAATTTCCTTCGAAGGACTCGATGAGTTCAAGAATGAAGTTATCTGTATAGCTAAATTACGACAAAATCTTGTTAAGCTTCTAGGATACTGCATTCTAAGAGAAGAAAAGATATTGATTTATAGAAGTCTTGACTTGATTATTTTTGGTAAGAAATGTCCACTTCACACAATCAGGTCAATAGCATATTCTATCAAAAGTACCAATCACACGTAATGTTATAAAATATTTCATGCATATTTTTCAAATCCATAACAAAACTTTGCAAATGAATTGTAATAATAAAGTACGGAACTTTACTCGTTTGCAAGGGATGAAGCTTCATGCTACTCTATGCTTGATGACACGTAGTTAGAGATATTGGATTTGATTTCTAAGTTCCAATTATCCAACGAATATTTTATCCTCATAAGCAGAGAAATTTTTTTTGCAGATCTAATGCAAAGTGTGGTGTTTGATTGGCATAAGTGCTTTTAGATAATGGTATTGCTGCTGTCGAGCACATGCCTGGCCATAGCTGTTGTTCTTCCTCATCTTGACTCATGGCGTCTTCAGTCAAGAAAGCAAAGTTCACTCTCAAGCTAACCTGTGGATGGAATTGCCTAAAAAATCGAAGCCTTTATTGAAAGTCGAAGATTGGTGGCATTGGGATTCATTCACAGGTTTTGTGCCAGGATCTCCACTAGGGCTTGTGTGCCTTGGGTTGCTCCCTCAGGATTCTGTCTCAGATTTATCCATAAAGACCTCAAAGCTAGCAACATTTTGCTGGATTCAGACATGAAGTCAAAAATATCATACTTTGGCATGGCTAGAAGTTTAGAAGGAAATGAGACTAGAGCTAATACGAGCCGAATTGTTGGAACATAGTAATAATCTCTTTCCCATAATATATGAAATTCTCTTCTATTGTTTACAACTTAGTTTCCTGATAAATTTTATCATGTATTAGCTATATGTCCCCAAAATATGCTATAGATGGCCTATTCTCAATGAAATCAGATGTATTTAGCTTTGGAATTTTGGTACTTGAGATAGCAAGTGGCAAAAGAAATAAAGGATTTTCTCATGGAGATCACTGTTGATTATTGAAGACTTTTGATTTTCTCCACATGATGAAATATGAAGAGTGTTAGAGAGGAAGATGAAGAGTGTTGGAGAGGAAGATGAAGAGATGGATGCATTCATCATCATTATTAGTCATTATTAGTGGATGCATTCACCATCATTATTAGTCATTATTAGTCTTCGTAATTGTGTGACTCTTAGTAGTCTTATGCTATCCTATAAATAGGTTTGTCATGTACTCAAATCAAATAATTCATATATATAAAAAAAAAGGTTTCTCTCAAAATATACTTTGTTCTGTTCTTATTACTGAACTGATCCGGTCTTGATAGAATCTATCCTTATTTCCGCTGCATACTAAAATCACAATCAGAACAAACATTTGGTATCAGAGCACTCCTGATCTTAAAGGCCTGTGAGAAAGAGGAAAAATGGCAAATTCTACTCTAGCTTCAATGTCTATCCCCATGATGTTTGGAGGCGAAAACTATGAGTATTGGTCTTGTCTATCCCTGATGTTTGGAGGCGAAAACTATGAGTATTGGTTTGTCAGAATGAGGGCTTTCTTGATGGCACATGATCAATGGGAGATTGTTGAAGAAGGTTATACTCCACAGGAGTTGGATGCAGACCCTACTGTGAATCAAATGAGGCAAGAGAAGGATCGTAGAATAAAAAATATGAAGGCTCTGACCTTCTTGCACTCTTCTGTCACTGAGACAATTTTTCCCAAGATTGTGGCTGTTACAACAGCAAAAGAGGTTTGGGATAAATTACAAGAAGAGTACAAAGGGTCTGAGCAAGTGAGAGCAGTAAGATTGCAAACTTTGAGCAGAGAGTTTGAAAATCTAAGGATGAAGGATGCTGAATTTTTAAAGGACTACTCTTCTAGAGTGGCTAATGTGGTGAATCAGCTTAAATTGAATGGAGAGGACGTACCAGACAAAAGAGTGGTGCAAAAAATGTTGATTACCTTACCCGAAAAGTTTGATGCTGTTACCACGGCTATAGAGCATACAAAGGATCTGTCAAGTCTTTCTTTGACTGAACTTACAGGTGCTTTGTTAGCCTATGAGCAAAGGTTAACGTTAAGATATGAGGTAACTACTGAAGGAGCTCTTGCGGCAAAGTTTAACCGCAAAGTTCAAGTGAAGGTGGAGGAAAACAACACCAAGAAGGGAAGAAGAAAGGCAAAGGAGACTCATTTTCTTCTTGTATTCATTGTGGAAAAACCAACCATCTTGAGAAGAAGTGTTGGAAGACAAAGCAATCCAAATTTTGCAAGCAAGTGGGCCATATTGAAAAGTTTTGTAGAGCCAAAAAGCAGAATCTAAATCAGCCACAATATCAACAAAGAAATCAAAATCAGCAAGCAGCATTTGCACATGAAAGGAATGGTGAAAACCATTTGTTTGTAGCTGTTCATGGAGCTGAATTGAGTAGCAAGGAAACATGGTTTGTAGACAGTTGTTGCACCAATCATATGACCAATATGGAGCAGATTTTTCGCAATTTAGACACAAATGTGAAGGCCACGGTGAAAATTGGAAGTGGAGGAGTCCTACTAGCCAAAGGTAAGGGTACCATTGCTATCCAAACAAAGAAAGGTACAAGATATATTGATGAAGTACTTTTAGTGCCTGGCTTAGATTCAAATTTACTAAGTGTGGGTCAAATGCTTGAAAAGAAATATGCTGTGCATTTTCGAGATATGAAATGCAAGATCTATGATCCTCATGATGTTGAAATTGCTAGTTTGCCTATGCATAATAGAAGTTTTAGCATTCAATGGCATAGCTTACTTGCAAATATGTCTAGAGTTGATGTGGATGAATCTGATTTGTGGCATAGAAGATATGGTCATTATAATTACAAGTCTTTGTCATATGTGCATTCTCATGGCATGGTGAGAGATTTGCCTAAAATTCATGAATCTGGAGGAGTATGTGAGAGCTGTAGTTTGGGGAAAATGCATAGAGAGTCATTTTCTAATGATGGTGCATGGAGGGCATCTGGAAAATTGCAGCTTGTGCATACTGATATTTGTGGTCCCATGAAAACTCCATCCTTGAGTCATAATTTGTATTTTGTGCTATTCATTGATGACTTTACAAGAATGTGTTGGGTGTACTTCATGAGAAACAAGTCAGATGTGTTCAATGTGTTCAAAAAATTCAAGAATATGGTAGAGGCACAATCTGGATGTAAAATTCAGACCTTGAGATCGGATAATGGCTAGGAGTATACATCTACCAACTTCAATCAATTCTGTGAGGATTATGGAGTTCATCGGCAGCTTACCATTCCCTACACTCCACAACAAAATGGAGTGGCAGAAAGGAAAAATAGATCTGTCATGGAGATGACCAGATGTATGCTAGCTGAGAAGGGACTTCCAAATTAGTTTTGGGCAAAGCAGTTTATACTTTCGTTTATTTGCAAAATAGGTTGTCTACAAAAGCTGTGAAAAATATGACACCTATTGAGGCATGGTGTGGAATGAAACCTACAGCCAAGCATCTGAAAGTTTTTGGGTCTTTGTGCTATGTTCATGTCCCAGATCAGAAAAGAAGCAAGTTGAAGCAAAAGGCTGTGAAGGGGATCTTTATTGGCTATAGTTCACAGACAAAGGGCTATAAAATCTATCTTCCAGAAACTGGAAAAGTTGTGATATCCTGTGATGTAAAATTTGATGAAAGTTCTAAGTGGAATTTTAATGAAATCAATACACAGCAACAGGTAGCAGTTTTTCCTCCTATCCCAGTGGAAACTTCAACTCCAACACTAGTAGTTCAGTTTTCCGAGATAGAATCTATCGCACCTATTGCAGAAAATTCTGAATCTTCAAGATCTAGTTCGGCTCCTAGAAGAACCAGATCTTTGAATGAGATTTATCAGAGGTGTAATATGGCAGTGGTTGAACCCAGCAATTATGAAGAGGCACAACAACATTCTGAATGGGTTGATGCAATGGAAACTGAAATGGAGATGATTCATAAAAATCAGACTTCGGAATTGGTACCTCGTCCTGATGAAAGAAAAATGATTGGAGTGAAGTGGATTTACAAGGCAAAAATGAATCCAAATGGCACAGTGAACAAATACAAAGCAAGGTTAGTTGCTAGAGGATTTGCACAAGAAAGTGGTGTTGATTATTTTGAGACCTTTGCACCGGTTGCAAGGTTTGACACCATCAGATTATTGATTGCACTAGCAGCACAAAAGAAGTGGAAGATACATCAGTTGGATATAAAATCCGCATTTCTCAATGGTGAACTGGAGGAGGATGTTTTTGTTGAACAACCTGAAGGTTTCCAGTCTAGAATCTATCCTGATCATGTATGCAAGCTGAAAAAGGCCTTGTATGGTTTGAAACAGGCGCCAAGAGCTTGGTACAGCAAAATAGATGGTTATCTATGCGCTAAAGGATTCAGGAGGAGTGAAAATGAACATACTCTTTATGTGAAGAGTGATGAAAATTCTGATATCTTGATTCTATCCATGTATGTGGATGATTTACTCATCACAGGAAACAGTAAAAAGCAAATTGATTTGTTTGCTGATAAATTGAAGGAAGAATTTGAGATGACAAATCTTGGAGAGATGAAGTATTTTTTGGGCATTGAGGTTGAGCAAACAGAAAATGGTATTTTCATTTCACAAAAGAAATATGCAAGTGATATCTTGAAGAGGTTCAAGATGCAGCAGTGTAAACCAGTTGATACACCAGTTGCGTTGAACACAAAATTATCCAAAGAAGATGGAGACCAGCCAATCAATGAGAAGGAATATAGGAGTCTTGTTGGAAGTTTACTGTACTTGACAGCAACAAGACCAGATTTGATGTTTGCGGCAAGCTTACTTTCTAGATTCATGAGTAAGCCATCACAAACACATTTTGGAGTTGCCAAAAGGGTCCTTAGGTATATCAAAGGAACAATAAATCATGGCATCTATTTTGCTGGAGGAGTTGGCTCAAATTTGATTGAATATTCAGATAGTGATTGGGCAGGTTCCGTGGATGATATGAAGAGCACGAGTGGTTATCTATTTACACTTGGTTCGGGAGCATTCTGTTGGAATTCAAAGAAGCAAGAAGTAGTGGCACAATCCACAGCAGAAGTTGAATATATTGCAGCATCGTCAGCTGTAAATCATGCCGTTTGGTTGAGGAAAATTCTTAATGATTTTGCAAAAAGTTAAGATGATCCTACAACTATCATGGTGGATAATCAATCAGCCATTGCTGTTGCAAAGAATGCAGTTGATCATGGAAGAACCAAGCATATTAAAGTGGAGTTCCATGCTATCAAACAAGCTGAGAAAGAAGGAGAAGTTCATCTTCAATATTGTCTAGATGAATCTCAAATTGCAGATATGTTCACTAAAGCATTGCCCAAATCCAGGTTTGAAGACTTAAGATTGAAGATTGGAGTTTTACCCAAAAGCTTCAAGGAGGAGAATATTGATTATTGAAGACTTCTGGTTTTCTCCACATGATGAAATATGAAGAGTGTTAGAGAGGAAGATGAAGAGTGTTGGAGAGGAAGATGAAGAGATGGATGCATTCACCATCATTATTAGTCATTATTAGTGGATGCATTCACCATCATTATTAGTCATTATTAGTCTTCGTAATTGTGTGACTCTTAGTAGTCTTATGCTATCCTATAAATAGGTTTGTCATGTACTCAAATCAAATAATTCATATATATAAAAAAAAAGGTTTCTCTCAAAATATACTTTGTTCTGTTCTTATTACTGAACTGATCCGGTCTTGATAGAATCTATCCTTATTTCCGCTGCATACTAAAATCACAATCAGAACAAATAATCACCAACGCAACCTCCTTGGACATGTAAGTATAGTGTACTTATTTTTATATACTTCATAACAAAATTAGTCCGTTTTGCATTTGAATTTAAGAAGACAGTCCTTTTAACTGAGTTCAATTAGTACAGTCATGGATGATGTATAAAGAAGGGATGTCTATGGAATTAGTTGATGCATGCCTTAGCCTTTCGGGATATTTTTTTTTAAGTATTGTGATCTATACATGTGGGACTGATGTGCATTTAACAATGTCCAGAAGACAGGCCAAGCATGTCTTCGGTAGTGTTCATGTTTGGCAATGAAGGTGTGTCACCTCAAGCTAGGCAACCAGGGTTTTTCACAGAAAGAGATTTATTTACTGCTCAAAGTTCAAATAGCACAAATGCAGCAAGTTCAACAAACCAAATGACCATTACATTGATGGAAGCATGATAAATAAACAAGTTGCTTTAGTTACTTCTATATTGCTTTTATTGATCTTCTTCAACCAGAATACTAAATTGTATACCTCTTCCATTATGTTCATAATTGTCCATTTCAGTAGTTGGAGGATCTTATGCACTTACCCATCAAGTCCTCTGATAAAGACTTCACTGTCATTCATGTGTTTTCGGTAACATCAGAAAATAGAACTGCTTCTGACAGTTGTATATTAATCCACTGTATAAACAGTGCAAATACCTTCAAGTCCGGTGGCGATTTTTGTGTGAAACAAATCATGCATTTGTAATTTGGTACATCACTCATGGAATACATCTCAAGAGTACCAAAAGGCTACAAATATCAGGAATCATTTTAATTGACATTCCAAGTAAGTTGTTACACGTAACCTATTTCGTTGACAAAAAACTTTGATGGTAAACTTGCGTGTTTGGTACATAGTTCTTGATTAAGAAATTTAAAAAAGATAAAAATTTTATTTGTTGTTTGTCCAATGCTGCGAATCAAAATGCTCTAAGAAAATAGTATTTTTATAGGCTTGCCATGTAGCATGCTTGAACCCAATTTTCTGCACTTGTAGAATTTGCTGACCAAGTGGGCACGTAATGCTGTATAGAGGAGCTTAGACTTAGTTGACCCCTTGATGTCAAGCTCAACATAATTTAACATCAGCAAAATCAAATTGATGTCTATTAACTTACACACTATTATAATTGATACTCTTTAAGATAAACTACTAATTAATTGATACAAGTATAGATATTAAGACCTAATTATTCCATGTTAATATCAATGGAAATGATACGGGGAATAGCTCCAAATATTATAGACTAGTCAGCGATTCTTTGACCCATTCCACTCTGATGGTCCATTTAACTAACCTATTAATATCAGTGAAACAACGGTCTAAGCATGCAAAGAAATTAGAAGCATAATGTTGACTTTGTAATACCAGCGTTTGTAATGGCAATTTCTCAATCCTCTTATGCATTAGTTTAAGTCAAGAAACTAGGATATGCATATTGGACACCTCATAGTCAGTCAAAGTCAGTGTGCTTTGACGTTTCTTTTTATATCCTGCATATCTATTAAATTAAATAAGAAGAACAGAGACAGACAGAACTATATCCATCATCGATGAAGATATCGAATAGCGATTACCCCTTACTTTTTTCTTCACCTTTTTAATTTCTATCCAGAAAATTTCATTTGCAATGAGTACTATAATTACTAACTGTGATGCTCGGACTTGGCATTTCGATCGGCATACCCATGTTGACACGACACGAAACGAGTACTTGTATGAAATACAGGATGGATCCCACAATTTTCAAGTAGACAAGGCAACCTAGGAAGGCTGACCACAGCAACACCCCACGGAGAAAGTAACAAAAAACTTACCAGCATCCAAGGGCGGAGACACCTGTAAGCCGATGCAGGCATCTGCCTACACTGAACTTTGGGGGTCTGGATGGCTGCATGTGGTGGCAGCGGAGGAGATAAAATACAGGAGAAAGAAGACAGCGAATGCAATGGCAAAGAAGAGATTTGGTGGAAGAGGGAGGAGGAAGGTTTTAAAAATAAATAAATTTAAAATTTGAAATGATGTCACATGCTGGGACTATTAGAAATTGAGTACAGACTATGAGTGGTGTAGTGCACCCAAAGAGAGAGGTCGGCCATTTTAATTTTTGGAAAAGGTGAAAGCTTCTATCTTTTTACATTTTGTGACTGAATTATTATTTAACTTTTTACATGTGAATTTTTAAAAAAAATAAAAGATAAAAAAAATTGAAGTTTGAAAGATGGACCCAAAATGATGTCACATGCTGGGACAATTAGAAATTGAGTACAGACTACGAATAGTGCAGTGCATCCTAAAGAGAGAGGTCGGACTTTTTAATTTTTGGAAAAGGTCGAAAGCTCCTATCTTTTTACAATTTGTCATTGAATTATTATTTAACTTTTTACATGTGAATTTCTAACAAAAATAAATAAAATAAATGAAAAATTGAAGTTTGAAAGATGGACCCACGTACATGCGTTCAAAATTTAGACTCATTTTAGCTATATCTCCATATTCTACATTTAAGAAAATAAAAGATTCAACACTTAGAAACATACTCATATTCGTACTCGAATTCAAGCATCATGGACTACTACAAAGGTCCTTAGAGGTGGTGAAACCTTGGTTCCATCTTGTGGAAGCTTTGAATTATGATTTTTTATCCCAGGAAATTCCAAGAATCGATTCGTGGGCTTGTGGTACAAAGAAATATCAGTTGAGACTGTAGTATGTGTTGCTAACAGAGAACTTCCACTTATAAATACATCAGGAGTCTTGAAGGTTATTAAGCCAGGACTCTAGTTCTTCTAGACGACACCAATGGTGGCATCATATGGTCTTCTAATACAGTTACAAAGTTGCCGGACTCTGGAAACCTTGTTGTGAAAGATGCAAATGATGCTGACCCAGGGAATTTCATATGAGAGAGTTTTAATTATCCAAATGACACAATTTTATCGCGGACGAAGTTCTGTTGTAACTTTATAACTGGTCTAGAGATGCATCTATCATCTTCAGGAGATTTTTTTATATCACTTTGATCATACTAGTTACCCACATCTCTTGAAAAAAGATTCCATTGTACAGTTTAAATCTGGGCCTTAGAATGGACTAACCTATGGTGGGACACCAAACTTGAGGAAAAATCCTATTTTCAAATACAGAGTAGTTCTAAACAAAAATGAGGCGGACTATAATTTTGAGCTCCTTAACAGATCAATTATTTCAAGGTTTAAATTGAGTGTTAGCGGCTTTGGACAGCGCTGGATGTGGGTTAATTGAATGAAGGAGTGGGTGGTCTACACTACTTCTCCAACAGAAAATTTATGATATTATATATTGTGTGGTGCATGTGGCAATATTGCAAACCATCGTGTTTGTGGATGTTTCGACAGATTTCTACTTAAAGATCCAAAAGGTTGGGACATGGCAGATTTGTCTAATTGTTGCATTCTTAGAACTCCTTTGAATTGTCAAAATGGGAGGTGTATTTCTAGTTTACTCTGGTATTAAATTGTCTGACGCACGATATTCTTGGTTTAATGAGATTATGGCATTCAATGAATGTGAGTCGGTGTCATGGACGGATTCAGCAGTGGGCTGCACTTGGCCGCAACCCACTGTCTTCCAGGCCCAGATACAAAAAAAAAAAAAATAGTAATAATTTTGGGTTTGAATTGTAATTACTCAGCCACATTAGCCCACTAACAAATAAATTCAGTGGGCTAGCCCACTTAAAAAAAAAATTCTTTAATTTGTAGCCCACTAACCTATATAATTTTAGGCCCAAAATAATATCCATTCCATTAATCAAATAATTAATCCCCAATTCCCAAACATTTTCCATTCCGTCATGTGCAAAATCAACTCACAAACAGCCAACATTTTCCATTTTCCATGCCGGGTTGTCCCTGCCTGTAGCCGTCGACCGAACGAAATTGTCGATTGCCGACTGACCCGACTCACTTCCGATCCGTGAGTGACGGACTCGCACAGCACACAGTCGTACCGATTCGTCGCCTCAAGCTTGCCTACATATGACTTGGGTTAGGTTTTAGGGTGAGTAATTTACTAATTAGTTTCTTGTTCAATTCATCAATTGTTTGTCTTTTAATTTGTTTTCCAGAAAGTAAATATGAAATAAATAATGAATAGCTTGGAGAAGAAGAAAAAATTGGTTTTCCATTTTCATAACTGTCGCTACTTGCTAGTATGATTTATGAAAGATATGGTGATTGGTGGTGAAAGAAAAAGGGCTCCTAATTCCTAAATTTATTTGGGCTTTACTTTGGCAGTGTGGTCAATTGTATAATTTGTATTGCACATGTGTATTGTTAATTTAATGTGCTTATGTGTAACAGTGTATGACTGCACTAGCAAATTGGAAAGTATAATGCCCGGGGATTCCAGCTCAAAATATGTATTCCATTTTTACGATAAATTGACAAGCATTGGAAATCTATTAGTTGCAGTGGAGGGATTTATAAAATGCATTGGAAATGTGTTTGAAAAATCCATGTGGATTAACCACCCTCAGTGCAAAGGATTCAAATTTCATTTCATCACTGAAGATTTGCACAGAATTTTCATGTCTATATCATAAATTTCTTTTTCATTCTACAACTTATATGCTATCTGTTGTATTTTTGTTGATCATAGATGGAAATAATTACTCTAACCTGGTCTTAAATATTTGGGACATATGTAGTTTAGGGAATGACTTTGATTTTAAGTCATTAGGGGTTTTATGAATACCATTTCCTGTCAACCACTGTTGTGGGGGGGTTTTGCTTCAAATGTTCCTATTGGCAGATGAATGATTTCAATGAAGTACATTACCAGATTTTAATATGGTTGCAATTATATGAAAAATATATATTAACCAAGTAATATTTTCCTTGTGAAGAAATGCTTGATTGCATCCCAACATTAGATGCATTCTATTGAATGGAATTTCATAAGCCTAATGCTAACTATATAGTTAATTCCTGCTTAATAGTATTGTTAAGTGGTATGATGGATCAATCAATCAATAGGTTGTATGCTCCAATGTTTTCTGTTGATGGTGCCATCTATTTGAGTCAAATATGCGTTTATTTTTGCTTCATGAATTGATCTGTCCTCCTTGTTCTTCTTGCTATAATTATGATATCTATTAAATAGAAATGCTTGTCCCTAAATTACTTTTTATATTTATGCTTTAGATTTAATATGGAAGAAGATCGACCTTCAACCAAGAAAGGTAGAACCTTATTGTCTTTCTTTTCAAAAAGTAACAAATCTCTGGATTCTACAATTTCTACAGTGCCCATTTCTCCAATTTCATGCCCTGAAGTTGAATGGCCTTCATCTTCTAATCTTAATTTTGAACCATCTGATTCTATTGAACTAGACCCTGGAAAAAAAAGCAAATATGTGAACATCCATTTAATGAATGTGATCAGATTAGGCGGGCTTATCTAAATGTTGGACCTTATCAACCAAAACTTTTGGAGAATCAGAGCAAAGAATGTGGAAAGCAGAAACGTCGATTTCAGGAACATTGGTATAATCAGTTTCCTTGGTTGGAATAATTGCCTTCAACATATAAGGCATATTGTTCTTACTGCTTCCTTTTTCTCAATGATAGTACTCTATCTAATAATTCATCACTAGTTACTGTTGGATTTGATAGTTGGAAGAGGGTTAACCAAGGAAGTAAATGTGCATTTCTTATTCATGTTGGTACAACATTGTCATCGTTTCATAATGGTTGTAAGAGAAGAGCTGAAGATCTAATGACACCAACTCAACATATTGACAAGGTAATGCATTCTGTATCAAATGAGGAAAAACAGAAAAATCGTTTGCGTCTAAAGACCACTATTATGAGGCCATGACGAATCTCCATCTTCACTGAATCGTGGAAATTTTATTGAATTGGTGGATGCATTTGCAAAAGTGAATATTGAAGTAGGAAAAGTTGTGTTGAGTAATGCTCCCAAAAATGCTATATACACGTCTCCAGACATTCAAAAAGAAATTTTGAGCATTATGGCCAATAAAGTACGACAAGGAATTCGTACGGAAATTGGGGATGCAAAGTTTAGTATTCTTGTTGATGAAGCATGAGATGAATCTTCACGAGAACAAATGGCTATTATCCTAAGGTTTGTGAACATGAATGAAATTTGGACAGAACATTTTTTTGCAATTAAAAGTGTTAGTGACACTACCTCATTAAATCTTAAGAATCAGATTTCTGATGTTCTTGTTCGTTTCAACCTTCTAGTTCAAAACATGAGAGGCCAAGGGTATGATAGTGTTAATAATATGCGTGGTTCTTGGAATGGACTACAGGCATTATTTTTTAAAGATTGTCTATATGAATACTATGTTCATTGTTTTGCCCATCGTTTACAACTCACATTGGTTTCTGCAGCTAAGGATGTCTCAGATATTAATTCATTTTTTTCTCATTTGGACAATGTTATTAATATGATTACATCATCTCCTAAGCGCATCAATGAGTTGAAAAGTGCCCAAAGAAAAGAAATTGAGCATTTGTTAGAAATTGGAGAACGAGAGTCTGGAAGTGGTGCTAATCAGATTGGTAATTTGCAACGAGCCGGAAGTACTTATTGGTCTTCTCATTACAACTCTGTAAAGAGTTTGATTGATATGTATGCTGCAACTTGCAAGGTACTTGAGTATCTTAGTGATCATTTTCCAAGTACAAGATCTCGATCCGAAGTTGGTGGTGTATACAAAACAATAGCAACATTTGAATTTGTATTTATCTTGCATTTAATGCACAGAATATTAGCAATTGCGGATGTTCTTTGTCAGTCCCTTCAAAGAAAACTCAAGACATCTTACCTGCTATGAGTTTTGTCTGTACTACAAAAACTATCCTTCAAGTATTGAGAGAAGATGGCTGTGAAGAATTTCTTGAAGATGTGAAATGTTTTTGCTCAAAAAATAATATACATGTACCTGACTTTGATGGTTCGTATATGGTTGGTCGTTCTCGTGGTCGTGAGTATCCTACCATTGAACAGCATTACCACTTTGATATTTTCAATGCAGCCATTGACTTTCAGATGATGGAGTTAGATACAAGATTTAATGAGACATCAATAGAGCTCCTTTCTCTTAGTTCAGCTTTGGATCCAAAAAATTCTTTTGAATCATTTAATATGGATAATATTTGCAAGTTTGCAGAGAAGTTTTATCTTGAAGATTTTAAACAGCAAGATATTTATTGTTTGAAAGTTGAGTTGCAACACTATCAAAATGATGTGATTTTTGAACCTCGATTTCAAGTACCTACACTTTCTGATTTATGTTGGGAATTAGTTGCAAGTAGAAGGTCGGAGAGTTACGTCATTTTGACTAAATTGATTTGTTTAGTACAGACACTACCTATTTCAACGGCGATAGTGGAGCAAGCTTTTTTAGCAATGAAACATGTGAAGACGAAAATTTGTAACAAAATGGATGATGGTTTTCTTGCTGATTGTTTAACACTCAACATTGAACGAGAATTTAGTATGAATTTAGATCTAGATTCTATTATAGATGAATTTTATGCTGTAAAACATCGCCGAGTACAACTTCAATAGGTAACTTATATTATAAATTTTTCTTATTATATATAAATTTTATTCGTACATTAAATTTTTTAAATTTTTAGCCCATCGTAACAGTAATTCCTGGCTCCGCCCCTGATCGGTGTGCTCAAAAAATCTCTCTTGTACGGTTTACAGTAACTTGGATATAAGTGGGGGAGGAAGTGGATGCCTACATTGGTTAGAAGACATGATCAACATCAAAGAGCTATTTACATTAGAATGGTTTCTTCTGAATTCGGTGAGAATTTAATAAACAAAAATGCGTGTTATTATTCAACATAAGTCTGCTGTTTTCTTACTTTCCTTTATAGATCACTGAGAAATAATCCATTTTATTAGCATATAAAAACTTTCAGAGCTAAAAGGAACGAAAAGAGATTCTTGTATTAAGTTTGTCACAGTTTATAGGATTGGTTTCTCTTGGTCAGAGTCTGATGCTTTATCTACCCTTATATACAAAAATTATTTTATCTTTTTGCATGTCCGTTATATTGAATTGGACCACACTCAAAAGATTTAGGAAGAAAAATGAGTGGAAATTAATTTGTAATAATGTTTAATATACTATATATCAAACACGCACTTGGAGCAACCAAACCTATGTAAATAACTACAATGGCACTACAGTGGCTTTGTAAGACACTAAAATTATAAATAAAAGAAAGGGCAGTAATTGCAGTTTTTTAATCAATAAAAAAAAAGAAAAAAGAAAAAAAAGAAGAAGAACGAAAAATGGAGAGACCGAAACTACTGTATGAAAAAAGGATGGAAATCGTAAAAATGGACCATCTGCTCAGACAACCACATCCAGGCCAAGAAAAAAAATTAGGGACCGAAGTCATACATAGGCCATAGGTTAGGGACAATTTGTGCCAATTTTCATTATTTTGGGATTTTTAATTTTGAGAACTTCATGTTATTTGGATTTCTTTAATTTTAATAATTGCCATCTAAATTTCCTTTTTAATGTGGCCATCCTAATATTAAAAAAAAAAAAAAATTAAATCCTAGTTATTTTAAGTTTTGATTGAACTGTTTCTCAAGTTGTTGTGTAAAATTGCCTTTTTTGTTGCAATTTTGTTCTCAACAGCACATCTCATCTATCTTGATATATTTGTCTAATTTTACAATTATAAAGTCAATCGGTGTTGACCGGTTTAATAGGAAAATTTTGAATGAAACTAAAAAACAATCTAGTTATTATATAATAAAAATCATCTAGAAAACAACCCTCGATCATTGCATTCAATTGAAACTTGATGAATCGATTAGGAATTTCTAATTTTTTTCACATAACTTTTTAATGAAAGGACAAACAAAATAATTCGTTCTCAACATATTCCGCAACGTAATATTGTCAATCATGTTCTTTGATGACTCGTTTTTCTTTTATATAAAAATTATCTCTATTATTAAACTCTGTCAAACTTTCAGCCCATGTAACACCAATAATCGATATGTGGGAATTTGTTAGGGTTAGTTAAGCAACTAAGGACCATTTGGACGATCAAGTTGAAAAATCAGGTGAATTAATAAGTATTGAAACATACAAAATTGGATAAAATTATTTTCAAGAATTAGGTGTCTCTATATGCAATTTTCGACGTATATTTATTTTTTTAATTTTTTTTGACAGAAACCTAAATTTAATAATTTACCATGATATCAATTACAATATATATTTTATATTAAAATTACAACTTACACTTGTCGTTTTTAGTGTGTATAACTTTTGAAAAGGGTAATTGACGAAATACTCTTAATATTTATTGATTTTGCACAATACTCCATATTCTTTCATTTTAACACAATATCCTCCTAGATCAATCAAAACTTGCGGAATACCCTCATCTTTAAATAAACAAAAAGAGAACAGGAATAAGAAAAGAATTAATCGCAATCATAGTCCCAAATTTTTCAAAAATTGAAAATGGATCCCAGTTAAAACGATTAAAAATATTAAACCTACCTAAAAGATCACCCCTTCTAGACGGAAACAATTCTAGTCCATTTCATACAAGATCATCCCCTACTAAATGCTTAAACCCGTTGAATTTGAACTATCCAACTCATTCTTCATCATATGATAATAGCCTATAAGCGGTGCTAAATTCCAGTCCCAGGATCTTAGCATCAAAATCACCGGACAGTTTACTGAATTTCTCGGCCCCTTTGCGCCGTGGAGTTGAGATCATTTACGTCATTGATACATATAAAGGCATTTGTGTATGCATGCTCGGAATTAGGACCTGCTGGAAGAGGGCAGGAAATTGCTGTCAAACGGCTATCAACAAGTTCCCTCCAAGCCCGAGGACTTGATGACTTCAAGAATGAAGTTATTTGTATAGCTAAACTCCAGCATCGTAATGTTGTGAAGTTTCTTGGATGCTACATTCGAGAAGAGGTAAAGATGTTGATTTATAAATACATGCCTAATAGAAGTTTGGACCTGATTCTATCTGGTAAGAAATATTCAACTTGAACAATTAGCTCTATGGAAATTCTATTAAGAGTAACATTTATACATAATGACATAATGGATATTGTTGTGTATTGTCATACTTGGCCAACCTACTTGGGCCAATGGCCCACTCAGGTCGAACCACGTGGCACTCCAGCCGAGGTGGGCTATGGCTGAAGCCCTTCAAGCCGAAGTCCACTAGCCGAGGCGCCCTTTTACCGAGGCCTGTGAATGTAACCGAGGTCCACATGCTGAGGCCTATGAGCCGAAGCCATGATGCTGAAGCTAGTTGAAATTAGCTGAAGCCCTCAAGTGGAAGTATTGTATGAAATGGCCGAAGCCCCGAAGCTGATGCAGGAGCCTCCGAACCACAAGGGAGCATCCTCCATGGTCACTTCTCCCAAGAGATCGTCTACACAAAGATCTTATTCGAATGATTGATGGAACGTTTGTCATAAGCATAAAGGTTAAGTCTTGTCACTAGTATGGAGACTCTGCACAAACAATAAATGCGCAGCAAGCTAGCAAGTCAAGCCCCATGTCTAGGATAAGATGTTTGAATCAAAGAGATGAGGCCACGTGCCACCTCATCCAAGGGCTCCCATTTCATATGTATCACTATAAATACTTCCCTTGTGTAACATCAAAAGGCTAATGCAAGAATCAATACAAAGAACTACACTTTACTCAACTCTCTCTCATTCACTTGCAATACACAAATCGAGTTTATACACATTTACATATACATTCACGAACACCGGTTGGTAATTATTGTACAATCGGATCACGAACAACCTGCTGGATTTTGAACGTCACCGTCCCGCGTCGTTGGGCTACTCCCACGCCCTTTGAACCGCTCGTTTTAGACCGTCCACGTGTCTTAGCGTGTTGGACATTTGTCCACGTGTGCGCGGGTGGGACCGGCATCTGTTGGTAACACTTTTTGGGGTCAACAGATTGGCGCCATCTGTAGGAAACCATACCAAAACCACGAGCAATCTTGTGGTAAAAGCTTACTGAAAAAAAAAACATTTAGGCAACTTCCCTTGAAAAAGGGATTTGTTCTTGAAAAAGAACAGGAGGAAGCCTCATTACTTACCAAAATCTGAAGTCTGATAAAAGAAAATGAGCTCCAATGAAGATACTCTCCCTATGAGGGTAAGAGAAAACACGAACGTGCCTCCTCAGCTTGCTGCCCCAGCAGCTCGGCAAAGACTCCACCACCACCAAAGAAGAGGTGGGATGTGTGTGACGACACGACTATCAAGAGAAATGGCCGTCATGGCAGCCAACATGAGGGATATTACTAGCCAAAACTTGGCTATGAGGGAGCTTATGGCCTAAATGCAAGGCCAATGAGGCTTTCCCATTCCTCCATATGCCCCCCAAGGGCACTACCAGCAAGAGGATAAAGTTCAAAGTCATAGAGCTGCCTTGCCAAACTATGGCGAGGTGGAAGCCCATTTGAAATAGAAGTGGAAGTTGATGTTTCTTCCAACTACGCTTCTAGTCGACCCACCGAGGTCCAAATGAGCCACGATAATTTTCCACCTCCTTATGAGCAAGATCCACGACATAGGAGGGCATGAAATGTTTTTGACAGAATCAACCCCGCTGAATCGAGGCTTAGGCAACAGCAGGCTCAACAGCTTTGGACAAGACCACCTCCTCCACTTCTAATGCCCCAGCAGCCGGACAGAAGGCATGAAAATGCCCCCTGTGTTGCTCTGCCTAGAAATAGGTAGCAGAGGAGGGAGGAAGAGGCTAGGGACCGCCCTAGAACCTCTTACCAACAACCAGGGTATGAGGCTGATGAGTACAACTCTGATGAACAGCAGTGGTCTTGCGACTTGGATGATGATGATGAGAATCTACCATTCTCAAGGGAACTAAGGAATGCCCAGGTCTCAAGCCACTATGTTATGCCAAAAATACCAAAGTATGACGGAAGAGGCGACCCGGAGAAGCACCTGAATGCTTATAAAACTCACACGAGCCTAAGGGGTGCCATCCCAGCCATGAAGTGTAGAGCCTTCCATTTAACGCTTAGTGGAGCGGCTGAAATTTGGTATAGCAGATTGCCACATGGGAGCATTAGAAGCTGGCCCGCGTTCAAGACAACATTCTTGAAGAGGTTCGCGGTGAGCAAAGAAGGAAAAGCCCTCATCCAACGTCTCCAAGACATGAGACAAGCACATGGGGAGTTCCTAAAGAGCTTCTTATCACGCTTCACTGATGAGATGACGTATTGCGTACAAGTCACTGATGGAGAGGCACTATCCGTATTGAGGGGAGGTCTGAACATGAATACCCTATTCTGGAGGGACGTACAGAATCAAGACCCCACCACTTATGACGCCCTACTCGAAATGATGAGAAGGGAGATCATCAATGAAGAATTGATTGAGCATAGGAACAGGGCAAGTAGAGGCCTCCCACCTCCTCAAAGATAGCGCGGTAGAGGCCCGACCTCCCACCTGATGGGCTACCAAATGAACGAGGCCGAAAATGAGAACTCTAGCCAAGCACT